AAGAGTTAGGGTGGTGTGGGGGGGGGGGGGGGGGGGAAGATCACTGTTATTCGTTTTCAGATTTCTAGGAAGGGTATTGGCTTTGCTGTGCTTTTTGCTTGACTCGCTCGTACTGATGAGGGATATCTGTCCACTTAGTGATCCGCCTATGCGCGCTTCTAAATTTGTGCAAGGGGCAAAACGGTTGTTTCGGGCAAATAACTGTCTTCTGAACGGTTAGTTGGGTGAATCTCACTAAGTAAACAACTTTACTCACCTCATTTTGCGTGATACTACTTCAAACCTTTCTTATCATCACATACTTATTAGGTCAAGACAGCATCGATCGACAGCATGTCGCCAGCTTCGGTTTCCGGGCTAAATATACCAAACTACCCGGAGTTGTCCAGGAAACCTAAAATTGGTGAAGGACGGAACCGGTTTCCAGCCCTCAGAAAGCAAATCCACATTCCTTGTCCAAATAAACCGACACCATCCTTTTTTCAGTGCATACTGTGTATCCTTCACAACCTTTCTGCAGGCACAAGCTACTCCCGTAAGGCTGTTGTTCCACCAAACTGTGGTCGTTGCCAGAGGAATAGTCTGGCTATTTCGTTTTGGTCTGTACATGTGACGTTTGACAAAATTAGGTCTCGGGTAGGCAAGTTGTTACCGCAGAAGAATAATTCGGAGGATTTTGAGATGAGTCCTATTTCTGCCAACAAATTTGCCACCACTCCTTTTGCTGACTGGTTAGTTGGTTGATTGGTCGATTGTTGCATAATTTGAAAGCCGTGATCTTACTCAGTGAACAATGGGTCCAACTCATGTAGAAATAGTCAAATAGCTCAACCGTCACCCCTCAATTCACACCTAGCCCACGCTCCAAAGTAAAAGGGTTAGGCCTAGAAAATAAGCAATAGTATGTAGTGGGTGACTTCAAACAGCGAACCTTAAGGTCAGGATCTCCTGACCTTCGGATCCACTCCCAACTCCCAGCTCACATTCAGAGTTCCTTGCCATCTTCCACTCGTCATAAAGGCACCGTTATCCATTTACAGAGTCGGGCAGATCCGTAAGGCATGTCATGCCATTTGGTTCTAGATCTAGTGTGTTCTCTTGCGTCTGGAAAGATTTCTTAGTCATTAGCATAATGCACTCATTTGCTAACTAATTTGGTTTTGCGAGAGACCTACCTGGAACCCAGCTGAATCTCTCGTTTGTGATGTTTAGTCATGTCTGACGTGATAGAGAATCTAACCTTATCCGGAATTCAGAGGAGCTAGGTGAAAATGTATGATTATATGTTCCTTTTAACCGGACGCTGCTCGAAAATCATTCAATTTTCAACTACCGCAGTCAAATTCTTTTTATGGCTTTTTACGCTTTCTCAGAAGAATATCGAGAACCCTCCAGCTAAGACTGGGTTGGGTGACCAGAGCACGTTGAACGATGATCAATCCACAGAGTGTAGCATGGATCCGCATTCTTCAGGTTTTCAACCCAATGTTGGGTCTCCAGAAGTTCGTGTATCCAGGAGACAAGACTCCCGTCCACCTCTTCAGTGTCGTGCGACACAGTGTTCCATACAAGAGAGAGCCAGAACGGTTTCGCAGGGCGTTCAAGTGAATGCAGTTGAATCCCCCCGGCAGGGTAGTTCTGTGCCGCCCAAAGGTCGACAAGCACAGCCTAAACGACCTACTTCAGTTCAAAGTAGTCGGATTAGGGCTGCCTCAGCCGGTCCAGCGAAGCGCGATTTTTTACGTGCCCACGAAAAAACAACCCCTGGCAAGTGTACCTTGGAAGAACTTGGCAACATTCCACTCAACAAACCCGTCTGGACTCCAAGGCCAGAACGCCTGAGTGTACCTGCTGCATCGTCGGCTAAAACGGTAGGTGTTTAAGTTCCGGAAAAAGTGAAAAATATCCGTGAGTTCAGTTATTCGAAAACTTTCTGAGATGACGACATTTTGATCAGTTCAAGGCGTTTTCCAAGTGTCAAAAATTTATTTACACGTGAAGCACTGTTTACTGATCACGCCGACCTCTGTGGTGCATTCTTGGAGGGTGATGTTTCCATTTATGACATAACATAATAAGCAAAAAGCTTTGTTCCTTGTTTTTAGTAGTTTACCGTTTTGTAGTGGCATACAACTAAAATGACGAGGACATCAACACATCCCAAAGCAGAGTTTAAGGCAAATGTCCGGCCACGATCGTGTCCACTGGCTCAGTGGTTAGAGCGCGAATTTATTGACCAGCGGGTTCGTATTTCGAACCCGACCTCTGCCTCTCGACTCCCCATGTCTAGGCTTAGACAACCTGGCAGTATCCCAGCCCTCGTGCTTCCTTCGGGTGGCATGGCAGCTAAGTACCGAAAGGGTGTTACAGCTGGACGACTGGTTTAACTAGTCGTGCTGTGCTCATCAGGAACCGTGGAAAGTTTATCATGCGGCAATTTGGTTGCCACATTTTAAACATTAATTTCTTCATTCTCCTTGTTTAAATGCTCAGTATCATGCTTGGGGTCATTGTAAAGTCATAATTCAACCTTTGACCTCTGTTAGGATGGAGACACAGGTGGTGCTTTGGCGTTGAAACACGTAACCTAACTATCTCAACTTCTCAGGAAAGCTACATACGAGTTCTTTTCTCCGGCAGCCATTCAACATTTTCACGCATTCTAGATCTCATCCCTCCATCAGATTCCAACAATGCTTCGGAGACATCAGGAGACAAACACTAATGGCTTAGGCCCTGAACATATTCCTGAACATGGACGAAAACTTTCACCCGTAAGGTTGTGGGATGTAATTACCTGTTGGGTATAAAGACTCACTGAGTAGCCATCCCTTCATTGGAATCATTGGATGACATCCTGAAACACTTACAAGTTGCAACAATCTCTATCTTAGCGCAAACGACAGAAGCATGAGTTTTTATTTGCAAACCAGCACAGAGTCGAAACCCCCCTGGAAGAGTTTTTGGTAATTACTGATTAGGTCCAAATACCTGCAAGAGTACTCAGGTAATTTAAAATTCACATCCCATATTGAACAGTTTTACTGTACGAGTTTTAGTCTTTCTCTACGATTGGTCCAATATATTCAGTGTGTTTTTCATTTCCAGTTGATAGAGTATTATAGTATAGGTTTTTTAATGGTTAACGTCCTTCTGTGGAGGTCACTTTTGGTCAGTCCAGTCGAATTCCCAACATTGTCCTAATTCATTGTTTTCATTTGGTAAGGACGGTGAGTGTCTGTCCAAATTAATTCCAGCCACAGTTGAGTGACCAATCTGATACACTTAACACCTTAACCACAGCTCGCTCGATTTGCAAAAAGTATGAAGAACATATCTAGATAACCCAATTTCCAACTATGCTTAAATGGACGAAGAAGCAAAATACTATCATCTTTCCGACAAACTGACCTTTCTCGTGTACAGTGCGACGTAGTGACTCGCGCCCCCGCCGAACCGGACAAAACAGAACTTCGGTAGTTTCACTCACTAGATAGCAAACAATAAACAGTTTGCGCGTTTGGTGAACTACAAAGCCTTTGAAACTGTGGACAGGCAACTCACTGTAGAGTTAAATTCATTGAAACTGATACTACATTTCATATTGAGGTGTTCCGGCGTTTCGAAAGTCAGGTTGTCTCGATGTTTAACTGTCAAACTGTGATACTGGAGTTACACGTTACTCAGAACATTTCAACTCCGAATACAATCATCTGTACGATATGATAGTTCAAAGTTCCTGTTAAGCCACCTTAGGGACTGGGGCGAGATGGCTCAGTGATTGGAGTGCGAATTTACTGCCGGAAGGCCCCGTGGTTCGAACCCGACTTTCCCTGTCTAGGCTTGGGCAACAACCTGGCGGTATCCCAACTCTCGTGCTTTCTCCTGGTGGCATGACAGTTAGGCACCGTGAGGGTGCTACAGCTGGACGAAATGATAAAAACGAATACCTTAGGGGTTTTAGCAGCAGAACTACCGGGATCTCTCATTATAAAACCTTTACTGGCCTTTAGGCAAAAAGTCAAATGACCTCTAGTTATCGAGATATTTGATTTTACTGGCTTTCTGGAGGCAAATCAGACCAAAACGTTTACTTCTACAGAGCGCCTGCATAATAATCATCCACTAGATGAAAATTCGCATAATTGTGGGCCTAGGTGCCCGGCTTGTGACTGTCATTGCGTGCACCTTCTGTCCACATGCGGGTATCTTCGTTAAATCCAATTGCATACCTGTATTCCCATTTACGATGTAATCTATAGGTTCAGCTGATTCGACGCAACATCAACTATGTCAGGGCGAATGCTCATCTGATTGGGATTTCTTCCAGAAATAGTAGTAGTCGTGGATCCAATGTGGCCGGTAGTGAACCAACTTCGCACCTCAATTCCCCAAAACGAAGCCAAGTCGCTCACGTTAGAGAGCCACATATGTGGCCGGAACGCCAACTGCCTGTCGGTGGGCTGCCAGCCTAGTAAGTATTTTAACTTCTACACAATTCCTCCTTGTTTGGAGAAGTTCATGAGGTAATGGGAATCGCATCAAAGTTGCAACATGTTCCACATTTGTGTTTTAGACAACAGAATTATGCTACTAGTCCGTTTCTAATCATGTATTAGCCCTTATTCTATGGAACAAGACAGTTTTTGTCTCAAGATGGAGGATACTTCAGAAAAAACATGGAACTGTGCCGAATCTTCTTAGAAAGAGACGATTACAGTGAGAAAAGCGAGTAGGACGAAATATAGGGCCTTCCTCTCCACCAATCTACGTTAGAACGACGTGTTCCGGTCCTATATATAGATTTTGTACATTGGTTAAATGTGTCGGTACCATCTCCATCGATTCTATTCTGACATAACAGGACCAGTTTTCAAGCCATGTTTGTTAGGGAACCTGTCAACCTGGTGTGCCGGTTCCCGAGAGTTAAAACCGAAAAATGACCATTCCATACCTTGATACCATGAATCGAGAGCCAGGTCCTTGACAGATAAGATATATATCATGTCCTGTTGTCTCAGTATGTCCTGTTGTCTCAGTGACGTACCAGTGCCTTGTGGCTGGTGGCGACAATCGGAATCAACAAGAATTGATCCAGCGTCGGGACATAAGCCGATTCACTCATTTTGCACCCTGAGAAGGGTCCTGTATTAGCACAGGATACTTTTAGTTATTTATTCGTCTGAAATTAGTTTCCTGCGTGAGTGTCAAGCCTGCAGGAGTTCCACTCCACTGGATCTTCTACGACTTCACCGTTAAATCCACTTTCCATGCCCTTCCCTCAAGGCAAGCGTTCCTGAGTCTTAGACCAGTGCAGTTGAGTGGTGGTCGCACGCATGGTCACGGTCTATACCTCATGAATGGCAAGCGTTCCTGAGTCTTAGACCAGTGCGTTTGAGTGGTGGTTGCACGCATGGTCAACTATGGTCTTTCTCCGACTCACCATGAAATCCATGCTTTGAGGTGGGTTTCGGTGGAATGCGGGTGCTCTGAACCATAAACCACAATCCTGCATTAACCTACGGGTTGTCAGGAAGTAAGAGGGGGCTTGGTAGACCTTGAAGCGAGGAATTCGAGTACAATTACCATGAGGTGGATGTGAACATTTAGCCTCCTGCACAACTGGGTCACTCAAATCTCACCGTCCTTTCAAGTGATCGTGACAGTTGTCAATTGTTAAGATCTGGAAAGTCTTCGAAACTCCGGTTTTCAAATAGCCTCTGACGAAAACCTTGTCGATCTGTAATATGCGGGCGGCATCTTTCTTGTCTTCGAAGAGAAGGCGCCATTGTTCTCCGATGGATTGACCAAAGTCCTCCCGTCCTTTGGTATGCACTTTGCTCGTGGACATACACTCACTGAACACGCCACTTACAATCCAGGGAGATATAGTCGAAGTTGTAGAATATTTTACGTATCTTAGAAGTTGTGTTAGTTCTGATTGTGGTGTGACAGCTGAGGTCAATGCACAAATCTGTAACGCTCGGGTCGCGTTTGCTAATTTGAGACACCTATGGCATCAAAACAGTATATTTCTGAATCTCGAGGGACATGTGTATCAGGTCACATCACCGACTGTAGTTGTATGGCTGTAAAACCTGGCCTGTTCGAGCAGCAGAACTGAGACGTCTTCAGGTGTTCGACAATCGTTGTCTCAGGGCCATAGTTCGTGATTGTTGACGTCGGCGAGGCTGTTACGAGGAAATAAGAAAGCGAGTTTTTAGTTGTGCAAAGGGGGCTTCCATCGAAGACTACATCACCACCAGGGACTGCGTTGATTGACACGCTGAACCATCGTTTTCAGAAAAGAGTGCTGTTTCCCGTGCCAAATTCAGAGTGGCGGAAACAGAGAGGTGGCCAATCCCTGACCCAATAGAGGTGTATGAAAGAGATTACAAAACGTTTAGGTGCTGCCGGTGCTACGCACCTTTCAAGATAGGGACCGCGTGATCCTCGGTGCGCCTGATTGGAGACGCTGCAAAATATGGCTGCTAATCCATATCGATAACGTTCTTGTTGTCATTTTCTATCCGGATTGTCTAAATGAGTGTTTGGAGGTACAGGCACATCGGAATGATTGTAGTAAGCTTACCTTAAGTCCCTTCTTCATCCACCTTTATTTTTTTCTTTACAATAGAGCTCTCAAATAAATCATGGTTGTACGGTGGCGAAGCATCGGTGTTGGACACTGATGCGATGCTGTCGATGATGATGATCAATTTCGAGTACTGAAGTGTAACGCGTCATCCGTCTGGTAAAAGATCAGTGTCCTGAGTCCACTCCAATGAGTGTTTTTCCGCCCATGCTATTCTTATTTGAACTTTCATTTTACACATCACTTGGTAAATGACGGAGACAAACGATTTCAACAAGGTTGTTCCCGCTCGCAAATCACTGGAATATATTCACCCTCAACAATACAAGTGACTCGGTTCGCCAATGATCTAAGTGCACACCGAACGCACTTACTAACCCGGCACACTGCTTTCGATTACTTGCGGTCCTGTCCTCCAAATGGCAGGTTTATCAGACAGCTTCACTTTGTCCGCTGTCAATCACTCACATCTCGCCCATTGGGGATGGTGTGAGATTAGCCATATAAAAAATGTAGCGGTCTCACTACATCTGAACACTATCTTCACCTGATGAGCCACAGTACAGACGAAAGCGTTTGTTTGTCTGCGTTTTTAGGATCCGACCACACAAGCCGTGTAAAAATTCAGTGGAATTCCAAACTTTGGCTTGCTTACTACCAGCTCACTCGGGGAGGTCTACCGCTGTTCAGATTCTGAATGTTCACCAGTGGTCATTTGAGTGTCAAGAGCCAGACCTAAAGTCGAATTTATCACCTGTACAAATTCGTCGGTTGATGTCTGGTGTAAGGGTAGCGGACTAGAACTACCGATCAAAAGGTTACCTGTCCGATCCCTTTACACCCACCTGGTGACTCATAATAAGATGATAGTGGTCGTTTGGCTGAGTTTCTACCACACTTTTACCCACGTGAACGTTCATTCGGGCGTATCGGCACTTTTGTGTACGTAACCTTAAAGTAAACCAAAACACGGTTGGCGTTACCAATAAACCGGCCACTCAGATATGCCTTTCTAGATCTTCTCCGGCCGATTTGGGCATTCATATCACCCGTCTTAATCACAGTGTTGGCCCAGTTACTTAATGGCAAAGTGTGACGTAATCTGTTTTCCTTATCTTTGAGGATCCGGTATATCAGAACAAACCTTCTACCATGTTGAGTTAAACGCGCCCAGACATGAAAAAAGTACACCGGTCTCACACATTCCGGATAGCAGATGCGTTGGTGGAGCTTACCAAACACGGCTTAGCAGTATGCGACCAGCGGAATGGATGAGAAGTTGTTCACGGCAAGAACATCACCATTGGCTGTACAGAACGAATAAGCGAACGACCATATGTGACCATTTAGTCATCCCATATATTTACGCGGAAGCTCCGTATGTTTATCCTGACAATACAGCCGTGTTCAGGGTCCACTGTCTTCTCGTCGTACAGTCTGACAGATTCAGTTCAGGCGTAACCAATAGAAGGCCACCCACGACACAACACTAAATGAGTCAGGAAACCGGAACGCGTGAATTACGGTTCCGCAGAGTGCTTTCTCTCCCCGTTACAAAGCGCTATCTGAGAGCAGTAGATAGCACAAGTCGTGTCAGAATAACCGATCTGGGTTGATCCCAATGGCAGTGGAGTCTCGGGTGCGTGTTTTGGAGGCAGTAAATACGTCGACATGAAGTAAAAGCAAAGTGGAAGTGAGGAGTCTCTGTTGAAAGTCTTGATGGCTAGTACGGACAGTAGGAGCTGTAATCTGTACAAAGCGCTATCTGAGAGCAGTAGATAGCACAAGTCGTGTCAGAATAACCGATTCCAAAGATCTGGGTTGATCCCAATGGCGATAAGAAGTGGCATATAAGTAACTGACAGAAGGGTTCATAAATCCCTGGCTGGAGGATAAGGAAGGATTATAGAAATGGCGGGAGAATGAAGAACTATACGAGCAAGTCAACTGGCTGTTTTCCTTTGGAAGAATGTTTAAGGTACACCACTTCGAACACAGTTTAGTTCGCGAAGCCTAGCCCTACTTTTCAACCCAGCACTTTGTCCCATACAGAGTACTGGTTTATTTTTTTATTGAAGGACCATGGTTAGCAGCTTATAATGCATCACTAGTGTGGCAAGCTGAACCTCTCTAAGACAGCACCTGAAAATACTATTAAAAGGTGCTTTCTTCTGGAATGGGTTTTACCGCTGGAAGGTTTTTTTGAGAAACCAACCAAAGCGGATTTTAGAAGGAAAGTGGCGCAATTGTATGGACTTATGAAGTAGAAGTCTATCAATGAAATGTGATTTGCCTATTTGTAACTGTGTTGTGTGATTAATCATGGGTTCGTAATTCGTCCTCCTTGATCAGCTATGGCGGTACATCGAGCCTTTCCTACACAGTTTTCATATGAACTTAGCAGTCTTCGTTCCCATATTTTTCCAGATATGGTGCCAAGACCATAGATTAACTTTACTTTGCTAAATTGGTTCTAAAAAATCTTCGCCCAATACTCATGGGGTGTTTTTCTGGAAAATATTCCATACTGCAATTGGAATACTGTGTGGGATGTGTCTCACACTGAAGGGAATGTCCTCTGTCATTTTTGCGAGGTGTATGCCGCTAGTATCGCCGTCAGATGCAGTGATAAAGTAACACTTTTGGTTTATCACAGTCTTATCAGGGAAAGACATCAGGCAGCAGCCGCCGCTGCACAAGAAGCTGCCAGTCGTCCTGATCCCGACCAGCCGCCAGGTCACGTGCGCATGCCGGATGCAGATAGAGTGAACACACTTGAACTTTTACGGAAAGGTAAGTTTTCCGCTTCTTTACTCAAAAACAAGAACTGTTCTAGCTACTTTTAACGAGCATGAAGTCTTTGAGTAGCGATGCGATTGGTATGGAGTTGGCGAATCACATGTTTTTCCTTCGTGTTAGTTACTCTCCTGAGCATCCACGAATCGGACAGATACTTGGCCACAATCAGTGCGCCAGGGTACGTTGATTCCGGTTATCAGAGCTCCGTTCACATAGACTGAGGAAAAACGAAGTTGGTGGTACATACTAGAAGCAATGGCCAGGTAATCAATGACGAATACCATGGTCTTCTGATCAATCGGAAATTAAGACACCCACGTAACGAACGTGAGACCTGTGGCGACAGCACTATGGGCTTCCTAACTCGACTCACTAAGATTGTGGTGCTTTACCTCGAACTCCCCAATCGGAACGATGGCAACATTTAAATCGAGTGGCTTTGTTGGTCAGGGCTTTCACACTTCGTTACGAAATGAGCGTCTCAATCTACAAACTCAATCGTCTTCTGCTTGGATGAGAACTACAGGGCGATGTGCCCCAAGGCTTGGTTATAGACGTGCCCGGGTCATTGAAGCTTGCTCTGTTCACAGCTTTATTGTCATTAACCACTGTAAATAATGTGCTCCGTTGTGTTGAACGTTGCCAAGCTTGGCGGAAAGACTGGCTACAAATAAATCACCTGCTTGTCCGAACTCCCAGTTGATCACAAAGGTATAGCAGATCAACATCAGCGAACTACCATAGCCAGCGCTTCTAATGTGTGGATGTCTGCTCATTATTTTCTGTATTGTCGGTAAATGTAACTTTATTAATTGGACCCATGAACATCATACCCGGAGAATTAAAAAATGAGAGTGAACCCGGTTTCAGGCAGTTCTACGACTATCCAGAGGGAGTGCGAGCATTCTCTGTTGGGACAAGTTGGTCTTCACATGATCTCCGAATATTGGATCGTGATGTGCGCGTAGATCGCAGCCGATTGGCTTTTCGAGGTAGCGTCTGTCTGAGATGTTTCGAAGCCGAGACATACTGTCCTAGATCAAAGAAAATTTGCAATAGGTAAGCAGGTGAGCAGGTTAATATCCAAAGAATCTTATCGTGTGTTGGTCTGCTTGTCGTACCTGCTGTCAGAATGGTGGATGGAGTCGAGTTGTTAGACTACGTTCTACATTAGAGGACTTGCACTCAAAGATATATATATCTTCGCCTATCGTTTGAGCCGCACATCAGAACTTGCTCAGATCTTTCCTTCGAACGAATTCGTAGTGTATGCAGGCATACATACATCCCATTCAACCTACTGATTGCATCCAACAATCAGGTTGGTCACCTTGAGTTACTTGCAAACCACCAAAAGTCCGGAAGTTTAGCAACAAATGCGGTTCAATCAACACAGCAGTAAATTGATAAAATGGTGATTATGCGGCTTTTCTAGACGGGATCAAGTAACACTGGTTTCAAATAGAATCCTAAGGAAAGCAAGTCAGAAAGGATACGCCTACCTAAGGTTCACACCAAATCTTTACAAGGTGGCCGCAAGATGAAGTTCACGTGCCGCGCGATGCCAAAGGGTTAGCGTTCAAATAAAAAAATCAATATCAGGGGTGTAGACAAAGAACGGAAACAAAAGCCCTAGAAGCCCCGCTGTGCATAGTAAGAATTAATGTAGGGAATCAACATGGTGTAGCCTTAAAGGAAAAAAGACGGTCTATCGATGAGGCTGGTTGTATCGAGTCTGTGAACTTTAACAGATTATGCTTTGTTTCGGCAAATTTCAGTGAGATGAACAGAAACTGATAGCGTCTTTGGGTAGCAGGTCGTCTGATTTATAGGTTGTCCGTTCGCGTTGTCTGTTAAGGTGTCTACAGATACGAATATCCCGTAGATTTCAACCGCCGATATATTTTCAAAATGAATTAGTCGCCAAACGAGATATGGGAAATCTGGAGCATTTGACACCCTTGTGTATTTTTCTAGTTACCGCAGTCGTAAAATACCTGTGCCTATCGGAGGTGTTGTATCGTGCGGTGACCGAGCTATTGGTTACGCCTGCACTGAGCCTGCCAGACTACGCGATAGGGAGAAGACAGAGAACCGGGGACACGGCTGTATTGCCAGGACGAAACATACAGAGCGTCTGCGTAAACATATAGGATGACTAATTGGCCAAATATGGTCGCTCACTTGTTCGCTCCGTACAGCCGATCGTGGTGTTCCGGTCGTGAACACTCTCAGGCCCAATACGCTGGTCGTGTGTTGCTAAGCCGTGTTCGGTGCGAGTCACCAACCCGCCTACTTTCCGGACGCTTCGTATCGATGGTGACCTTGGGGATGCGTCACTCTCTGCACATGTACTTTCTCTTCTGTCTGGGCGCGCCCTGATAGGTCAACCTACATTGAAGGGACGACCTCTAGACACATGACAAATCCGCTTCAGTAAAACCACGCATAAAATGTACTGACGATTGTGGATTGATGACCCGATTTGAACCCTCTTCATTGAAGAACGTTTGTTGTAGGTCTGATGAACTTTTTGTCCGGCCAGGAGACCAATGCACCGAATAAACGCTTACCTTGTTTTATTATTCCACCGTAGCACACGCGGAATTAACTGAGGAGTGGTTCAAGTTGCCTGTGCGGATGGACACTATGCGAATTCGCGTTCGACGATCTGAACTGGAACAACGCCTCATTGAGTTGGAACAGGCTATTAGCATTTTCGAAAAACCCAAAGTTTTTATCAAACCAGAATAACGATTGTGCAACTGCCATCCAGGCAACAACATCTAAACGCCGAGAGATTGGCGAATCGAAGACTGGGCCAAGATTTCGAAGTATCCTGTTTCAATAAAAAATGTGTGTTCTGTTCACCTCTACCGAGTGACCTTTCTGTGTTTGGTATTAATAGTTTGAATCCATACAATTCGAATTTTGCGCTTGTTTTCTTTAGGTTTTCCCTTTACCTCTGAGTGTGTAATATGATTTTGCGGTTCGCCTATCCATTCTCTTGGATCTCTTATCCATTGTTCGTGTACACCAAGGTACAAAGAATACCTGGGTCTTCATAGTGGCACTTCGTAACAGTGTATTTGTTCGCATATCAAAGTAAATCCGAGGCAATTTTCGGCCTGTTTCTCACAAAGTGCACTAGTGGCAAACCCAGAAGTACACTCACAAGCATCTTGAATTTTACTTAAAAATATAACAATACAATAACTTCAGGTCATGCGTGTATTCCAAGTGCACTTCAAAAGTTACTCGTGCTTCTATGAGACTACCGAATACTAAAACCGCGACGTCTGATGTTCTGGACCCGTGTGCAAAGATGTGTTGACGGAAAGATCAAATCAACCTAGGAGACAAACTCTTATAAATTCCAGCATGACCTAAAGACTTTGAGAGACAGTGTGTCCGATTCTGCGATGTGTTGCACAGTCGTGTGGATGTTCTCCATTATCCCTCTTTTGTTTCACACTCCAGATATAAGAGAAAATGCGCTGTTTCCCCCATCAGAGATAATTTCCAGTGCCATCGGATGATTTCCGTTTGTTGCCACCCGAATAGTCACGATTTTGGTCGGAGGAGAAACACCAGAGCGACCGTAGGAAATGGCGATGAATAGGCTGTTGTATTGTGCGGTGGCCAAGCTATTGGGTTACGCCTGCACTGACCTGCCAGACCTACGCGATAGGGAGAAGACAGAGAACCGGGGACACGGCTGTATTGCCAGGACAAAACATACAGAGCGTCTGCGTAAATATATAGGATGACTAATTGGCCAAATATGGTCGTTCACTTGTTCGCTTCGTACAGCCAATGGTGGTGTTCCGGTCGTGAACATTCTCAGGCCCACTACGCTGGTCGTGTGTTGCTAAGCCGTTTGGTGAGAGCCGCCAACTCATCTACTTTCCGGATTTGTCGAACCGATGGTGACCTTGGGGATGCGTCACTCTCTGCACATGTGCTTTTTCTTCTGTCTGGGCGCGCCCTGACATAGGCACGGCAGCGACTTGGCGGAGATCGCCGTGTATGACCTGGTTCAGCCGTGCTGCCTCAATGGGTTTCAACCTGAACTAAGCGGCCTGTTTGATATACCTTCCTGTTTCACCCAACATAGGTTAGCCAACCCTGATAGAGTTGGCTTAGCCAGTAATTTATGTTGGACTAAAAAGTCGCGCTTTCCTGAATCACCATGGTTCGACTGCTCCAGTCTAGACTTGGACAACCTGGCAGTATCTCAGCCATCGTGCTTCCATTGGGTGGCGCGATAGCTAGGCATCGAAAGGGTGTTCGGGCTGAACTATTATTATTGTTATTGCTATATGGATACCGGGAACAGGTGAATCGAATTGTATCCTGGTATTATAGGACTTTCCATGGGAGGCAGGTGAAATGCTGATGAACAGGTTCTGGCGGGAAAGGCTCCTGGACAACCTTGTCGAGATGGCGCGAGATCCACCAAATATGCTCACTTTTACACCGTCGCTTATTTGTTTGTCTGTTCGCCGAGCTTGTTATTATGATTGCCATGATTGTTTTTGGGATTACATGGACTAGTTTTTTCCGCAGATGCAGCGCGTAATGCACAGGGATGAAGTAGTGAAAAGCCAAGACGCTGATTAAACATGGTGTTCCGTTGATTCCATCTTATCCGGATTTACTCGGATATAAGACTGTCCTCGACAGGGAACAAACACGCATTGCTCTACTAACAGATGGATGCACTCCCGGTACTTCTCCTCGTTCAGTGTGGATTGGTCAGAATAAGCGATTAGGGATAAAAAAAGAAGGCCATTCAGACGAGTGGGATGTGGGCAGATATTCGGAAAATTGACATAAAACAATCGTCAAATGGAGCATAGTAAGATACTTTCAACCTCTTATTGGATGTAACAGTCAGCAAGAGCTATCGTACATATTACAAATTGCAAAAGTGAAATCCTCCAGAACCTGGTTCCTTTTGTCCCAACAATGAAGTATGAAATACTATTTCATCCTAATATTTGAAAACTCTGGTGTACACCTGCGATGTGCTCACATGTATGGACATCGTTTTCGATAGTGGTTTGGGCTTTAGAAACATTCATCGCCCTCACCACTCCTGTTGACTGAGCTCTCCGGTCAGATCTCTTGAAACGCCTATTGGTAGTCATGAGGGTTCCAGAGCGTACCGGCGTCAAACATCTAGGGACATGTTCTGTGAAGACTTCTTCTTGGCGCGAGTGGCACACAATACTACCGCAAACAATGACGATTCTTCTGACATTCTTTAAACGCAATCCAGTGAGCAGCTCTCGCATCCATTGTTCGTAACGCTGACCCTCATGACAGTAGAACCGGTGGAACTGTAAGAAGATAGGAATACTTTCCTTTGCTGCTGGTCCCCACGGCGTGCGTTCGTGTGCCTCAAAGTGACCGAGCCCTCCTTCGGCAGCAAAATTTAAAGTTTTTTTGCCGACCCAAATGGTCAGTCTATTCTTGGCTTCTAACTACGTAAATCTAGAAATACCTCTTCGTCAGTCGCTGCTTTTCTATTGTTTAGAGGAATATTTAGGACCTCATCCTGGGAGCTCAGCCGCAGTGCCCAAACTCCCACCCAGTAATCGTTCCACGCCACGGAATGCCCATATGTTCTGTCACTCTTTTCCATCTCCGAATTCTTGACAAACAAGCAGTGGTGGTTCTGCGTAATGTCAGCTGTAAAGCACACGTCCATCAAGCACGGACGTTTGTGCTGTAACCACTTGATTCAAGTACTTCCGGCTTGCGTCTATGCTGGTGTGTTAGGATCAACGGGACGAAACCAGCCGATTGGGTGGGAGCTGCAGTCCTGGCTAATTTGACACCGCAATCACCCGCCAGTGAGGCTGACCTCACGGTAGTTGATGTGGCGGAAAACAATTCATCGTCTTGCCTACTCTGCTGCGCGATAGCAACGGCAGTTGTAGATCACCTGGTTCAGATCCGTGCTTCGCCGAGTCCGCCTGTAGCCTGAATTTTTCAACGCCAATTAGACGACCGTGACACGTCACAGTTAGCGGACAAGGGTGTAGTGATGACTCATGTCATCTATCCAGCCCCAATATCGTATTGAGTTTACGACGGCAGCGGCCCCCAAATCAAATAGGGCACTGGCTTGCGTGACCTCATGCTTGAGTAACTAGCCCATCCTCTGATTGTGGGATCTCAGGCCGATTCGCTACCTTGCCAATGCACGGTGTCCACTGACACCGGCCTGGACGCTGCGTGCAATGGTGTGGTGGCTTACCATAGCTCGACCGCGTATTCTATCGTCTCGTTCTTTTCAAAAAAGAGAAATTTAAAAAAGCGTGCTTCTCGGGTATCCTTCCGGTCGCTTCGTCTGTAGTTCCTTCATTTTGCACAGTCCTTGAAGCACAAGTATCCAATTGCACGCAGGAAAATTTCATCAAACTGCACTGGCAGTCTTGCAAAACTGCCCAGTATGTTGTATTTTTCTCATGGTACGCCCAGGATAATTACTGAAGTACTCTTCCTATAAATCCCACCTGGAATTGCTCCTGTCAAGGCTCTCCGACTCATGTTGCTTGCAAACGCTTGAAGTTTCGAAGAAAGATTGCATTTCTACAAGTAGCACAGGAAGGGCAGTTTTTAAGGCACACAAAAAGACCGCCGTAGTTATCGTTCGTTCTGTTGGATCGAGCTTGGATCAGTTTTGCCTGTCTGCACGCCGAAACACCATTCTCCTTAGCGAAATACACTCATATGCATACCAGTGTGGTTTTGACAAGAGACGTATCTGGGATCTCGTCTTTATGGTGTTTTTAGGTTCAAGTAGAACATGAGGCTGACGGAAACTCGAGCACTGCGCCTACCCGATGAGCCCCAATAAGGGCGAAACCGGTCGTGGGCTGTCTCAGAGTTTTCAACGACCTTATGAGTACCGTAAACATTTTCCTTGTCCTAGCAGTGTCATGTCAGTCAACTGACTCGATTGTGACGGTGTGTTGCAGGGGTCGACCTGTTTGACCGTGTCTGTCACCTACAAATCGAAGAGAGCTGCTCCGATGGCTACCCATCCAATAGTCGGAGCATATAAACATAGGTCCGAAAAAGAAATCCGCGGATTGGAAGAAGCGAGCGAGGTGCTTGGCCACGTACTAACGGTGCGACTACACGGCTTCTCAGCGTAGTAGAAACTGATTACATACTTCGGTTATGATATTTTAGTGAACCAGTGGGTTTAAACACTGTTTTTTTCTACAGCAAGGAATTGTATTTGCCAAAGCGAAGAATATATCATGAACGGTTCATCTGACGGTACTTCCCAACACCGAAAGTACAACCATCCGATTTTGGCCTATATATCTGGTGCAGTGACAAGTCAGCTTGTGCCTGCAGTCCAGTATATGACCTATGGATAATTTTTAATAAGGATATCAGCAATCTTCGAGTGCAACGCGCGCCTCGTCACAAGCTATCTCCGTTTACCGAAGCTCAGCTGCTAGTTAGTATAAACCCTCCGTAGTGTTTGCCGCTAATTTTCTACTCACATTATCATTCAAGTGCGGGACACTTTTTCAATTCCAGTGGTTCATGGCAGAGTTCGCCGGGTCACTTAGGAGCAAGTGGCTTCTGCTCATTTTCTGTGGAACTTCCAAAGGTTGGAGGTCTTTCGCCGTTTCCCTCGCTTACTCAAAATCTAAATCAAAAGTGACATACATTCTTGTTATCTTCGATTTAGTATGCGTTCACGGGCTTTTGTTCTTTTATCGGCGATTTGGGTAATCAGATTTCTCTCTCTTCATAAGGGTATAGTAGATTGACATCGGGAATCTCAAAGTGACTCGTAGCGAGAATCAACAGTTCACGGCTAGCATCGGTATATATATATATATATATATATATTCATTTCATTATGCTTATAAAAAGTGCGGTCTTTTCTGAGCTGCAACGGTAAATAATCGGATTACATATTAATGGTCGCTCTGCCTACGTTGTCAAGTTTTTGAAGGAGGAACTTGAGGAACAGTTAATTGTCTACTTTGAGTGCACCTTCATATTAAAAATACGGTGGATATGGGAAAACAGGACAATGTCTCTGTTAATTCCTACCTCGTTTGTTTCACCAATTTGTTTTAAACCAAATATGAA